CTCTCTCTCTCTCTCTCTTCCTTCCTCTGAACCCCATCCCCTCTGCCTGCCCTGGGCACTGTCCCCATCCCATCCAGACTCTTTCTCCTGGAAATGTCTTTCTGTTTTTGAGTCTCCATTTCATGTATCTCTTGGGCCTCTCGCAGACTCTGCCCAACTTCTCTCTTCTTTGCTGTAGCCCAGCCCTTCCTCGGCGTGTCTCTGTGGGTAGCCCTCTCTCTCTGTCAGAGCTCCCCGTGTCTCTCGTCTCTCTTTTGAGGCTCCCTTGGCAGATCTCTTTCCACTTCTCTCCATTCTGTGCCTCTGCTGTGCCTGTGGTCCCCTGGCCCCCTCCCTCTCTCCGCCTCTGGGCTCGAGGCTGTCCTCCATCTCTCACTTTCTGCTCTCCCCCTGATCCTTGCTGGGCACCGGGCTCCTCCATCCCTCACTCCTTAGCCGCTGCCCTGCCTTTCGGAGTCCACATTGGCTTTTCCTTGCTGGGCTCGCTCTTCCCGCCCCCATCCTCTCTCCCCACATCTGCGTTACCTTGCATGGCCTTGCCACTCCCCTTCCTCCCCGCTCCTGGGGGCTCCAGGGCCCTGGGATCTTCTTCTCCCCCGCACGGCATCCCTGAGTGTCTCAGGGTGGCTGTGCCTCTTGTGGGCTTGTCCCCTCGAGCGGGTGCACGCCCTGTCTCTGCCTGTGCTCCTCCAGGGCACTCACTCTTCCTCCCCACCTCAGTTTCCTTCCCTGATGCTCTTCCTCTCCTAGTTTGCAAGTGTCTCTCCCCCGTGTGCTTCTCCCCCTGCCCCTTCCTCCTCTGGAGGCCTGAGGTGCAGCTCTGACATGCTTTCTCTCTCTTTCCAGAGTTTTGCTGTCTCTCTCCTCCCCACGCTTCTTGTACCAGCTGCTGCTTATTTTTTGCCCACTCCCGCAGCCCCTTTGTCCTCACTCACCTGCCTGCTTCTCACCTTGGCTGACTGATGTCTCTCCTTTACCCGCTTGTCTGTCTCTTTCCCCGGGTGGGGCCCCTGACTCAGTTGTTTGCTGCGTTTCCGCCTTAGTCCAGCTTTGCCTAAGTCTCAGGGTCTGTGAGTCTCAGACCTGCCTGCCACGCTCCCCTCCCCTCTCACACCCTCTGTCTTGTCTCTGTCCCTCGTGGTGTCTCACTGCTAGGCTGTGTCTGTATCTCATTTAGCCCCAGGTCCTACCTTTTGGGCTGTGCGTCCTTCTGTGTGAACCTTCCTGTACCTCTGTCTGTTTGCTGCCCCCAACCCTGTCCTACACTCTGTCTCTATCTTTCTGCTCCCACCTGTGGGTCCCTGTCCTTCTGCCCCGTCTCTTCCTTGGTCTTTCTGTCCTTTAGTCTCTGTTCCCTGATTTGCCCCGGAAGTCCCTGGTGTCTCAGGATGACCCACCCCACTCCTGCCTCTCTGAGCCCCGCCCTTCACACCCTCCCAGCGAGCTCTCCTTCCGGGCCTCCCAGCATCCCTTGCTCCTCCACCCTTGACAAGCCTTCACCTTAGATCCCATTACAGTTTGCAGCCACCAGCCTGCCCAGCATGCCCTCCACCTCCAGCCTCTCCTTCCTAGAGGCCCAGAGAGAGAGTGGTGACTTGCTCAAGGTCACACAGTGAGTCTGGGGCAGAGCTGGGACTATTCTGGTCTTCCGTTGTCCTGGCCTGGGTTTTCCTAGACCCACAAGATGGTCAGAAGAGTTGACTTGTATCTCTGCCCCTCCCTGGCAGTTCTCATCCCACCGTTTCCCCTCCTTCCATGGGGACTGGGTGGAGTGTCAGGGGTCCAGGCTCAGCTCACCGCACTCTGGGCCCCACAGTAACCATACTCCATGGACACCCAAGTGTCCCTTCCCTTGGGGCACGGCCCTGAGCCAGGGGGAGCTGCACATCTGGTCAAACTCCTCCCTGCTGAGTAGTTGCCCTGTAGAAGACCGGGGTACCTGGAGGAATCCCTGACTCCCTGGGGGTGGAGAGTTGTGAGGAGCAGAGATACATTCTCTGCCCCTGTGTTTCAGCTCCCAGAGCAGGCTGAGGGACAGCAGTTGGACACCCCCTTCTGGCAGGCAGCTCACTCCCTGCCTTACTTTCCGCCCTCCGGCTCTCCCTGGTTGCAACCCAGATCGGTTTGTGTCTTCTCTTCCTCTTTCTGTGTCTCTCCTGTGCCTTGGTTTCCCCTTCTCAGCCTCCTCCACTCTCTTCTCCCCGCTCTGTGCTTTCTCCATCTCATCTCCCCGTGTCCCTGTCTTCCCTCTCTCTCTCCTGGTCCTGTCCCCTGGCTCCCCGTAACTCTGCTTCCCCGTTTCTCTCCATTTCTGTCCCCATTTTCCTATCGTCTTATCATCTTTCTAGTCCCTTGTATTTCTGCTGTTTTGTCGTTTGTCCTTTGCTGAGTCTCTTCATCTTTCCCCTCTCTAAGCCTCGCTTCCACTTTCTGTCTCTCTGTTTCCCCTCCTCTCTCTTTATATATATTTTTTGGTCCTTTTGCTGCTTCGAGTTCATCCATCTGTGTTTCCGTGTCTCTCCCTCTCCCTCCCCGATCTCTCCCCAAGTTTCCTAACTCCCAGATACTCTCCCCTCCACACCCTGGATGTCCAGACCTCTCCCCCCATGGGATTGTGGGAACCAAGGACGTCAGGAAAGTGGCAAGTGAGGCCTGGGATGGAGTTGCTTAGCAACCACCGCATCCTCTCCAGCCAGTTTCTGTTGCCTGGGAACGGCTGCCTGCCCAGAGACAGGGGCGGGACTGGGTGGGGGGTGGCACTTCCTGGTTTCCTCTTGGGGTGGGACTGGTCCCTAGAATTCACATGCTTCCCTGCCATTTTGGTAGCTGTGTCCATCCTTTCCCGGCCTGTCCCACTCAGTGCCTAAGTGCCGTGAGCTCCTCTCTGGTAGTGTCCTGTGAGCCTTCTAGCAATGCCCTCAGCATCGCAAGCTTCTAACATAACGGGAGCAGGGCTCTTGAGAACTGCCAGCTCCTCACCACCAATGTCCTGGGAGTTGTGGTTGCCACTTCATCCAGCAGCCCTCCGAGAGGCTGCGTCCCCCCACATCAGCAGTCTCCCTGTGGGTTGGGGATCTCCCTGCAGGTGGCGAGTGGGGGCCGCGGCAGCTGCGTCCCCATGAGGAGGGGAGGAAGATGCCGGCTGAGCTGCTGCTGCTGCTGATTGTTGCCTTCGCCAGCCCCAGCTGCCAGGTGCTCTCATCACTGCGCATGGGTGAGGCCCTCGGCACCCTGCCCCACCTCCTCAGAGACCCCCCACTGGCAGGCCCCAGGAATCTGGGCCTCAGGTCTCAGCCTCCAGCACCTCCCCCCTGGACCCAGGAGTCCAGACCCCTAGCTCTCGCTACCCTCAGACCCAAGAGTTCAGACCCCTCATCCCTAAACCTTCCTCACTCCAGAGCCCACGAGTCCAGGACCCCAGCCCCTTCCTTCTTCAGGACCCTGGAGTCTGGTCCCCAACCCCTGTGTCCCCTCAGCTGCAATCCTGGATGACCAGACAGTGTGTGGCCGCGGTGAGCGTCTGGCCTTGGCCCTAGCCCGGGAGCAGATCAACGGGATCATCGAGGTCCCAGCCAAGGCCCGCGTGGAAGTAGACATCTTTGAGCTGCAGCGGGACAGCCAGTACGAGACCACGGACACCAGTGAGCGGGGCCACAGGGGCGTGGGGTGAGGCAGGGCAGGCCGGTGGCCCTCAGGGTGTCCCTCTGCCCCAGCCTCTGGCTTGGTCTTGTCCTCTTCTAGCTCCATCTGGCTCCTTCCTTCATGTCTGTCTCTGCCTTCGCCTTCCCAGAGGCAGCTGCTGCTGGGCATGGCAGGGTGGGCGAGAGCGTGAGCCCCAGTCCTGCCCTGGAAGAGCCCAGGGCCTCATTTGGAGGAAGCATCACAGCTGGCCAGGGACACTTCTCAGCCCCCAGAGCTGAATATCAAGGGTCCCAGGCAGCAAGGCCAGAGGGCTGAGGGGTAGGGTCAGTGAAAGCAATTTGGAGAAGACTAGACTGAAGCTGAGCTTGCAAAGGGGAAGAGGTTGTAGAAGGAGTGGCCTTGCTCCAAGCATGGCTGGCTACATGGTAGGGCTGCATTAAGTGTTTGTTGAATAATAATGGGCTGAATGAATGTTCATAGGTGTCACTTGAACAGATGTTCTGGGGTCATAGAGCTTTGGGAGATGCTGCCTTAAAATGTGTTTTAGACAATTTTCTTCCCTGCAGGCCATATCAGAGGCTTTATTATATTCATGCATGTTTCAAATCACTGAGTGGGAGAATGGGGTACAGTGTTTCCCAGTCTTTTTTGACTGGTGCAGCATAGAGCACAATTTGGGAGAAGCTGGGATGGAGGATGAGGAGGCAGATGACATTTCAGGCATGCACCTAGAGTCTGGAACTGGGGTAGGGGGCAGAGGGGGAGGTAGTTGGAGCTAAGGAACAGGGTGTGGGGGTGAGTCCATCCTGACCACCTGGATTCAGGACACGTTTGGGGAGATTGTGAGAGACTTCCAGGCTGAGCGTGACAGGGCAGTGGGAAGTGAGGCTGGGCCGTTTGGCAGGCGGCTGGAGAGGACCGCAGTGCCAGGGTGAAAGATGCCACCTTCATGTGCAGACAGTGGGGAGCCATCGATGGGCGTCTGGAAGGAGAATCTGGAAGCTGGATTTGGGTGATGAGTGAGGAGGCTGGTACATGCCTGAGTTGAGAATCCTAAAGTAGGGCAGGGACAGAGGGGACAGATGTGAGAAAATCTGAGGACAAAGAAAAGTTAGGACTCGGTGACTAATTGACTGTCACGAGAGGGATTGAAGGCACGTACCATTTCCAGGCATCTGGTCTGTGCAAATGGTGGGGCCCTCAGCAGCGTGGAAGGCACAGAAGGAACAAGTTTGGTGGAAGATGAGTCGTTCAGTTATGATGCTCTTCGTTAGATGTGGCGGAAACCCAACTCAGGCTGGTTTAAGACAAAAAGAGAACTTATTAGGTCATGTTACTAAAAGGCCTAAGAACTAATTTCAGGCATGGCTGGATCCTGGGACTCAAATGATGTCCCAGGATTGTTTCAGGCATGGCTAGATCCAGGCATTGAAATAATGTCCCAAGAATCTCTCTGTCTTTATCTCTGGGCCCTACTTTCTTCAGGGTTGGCTTCATTTTTAGGAATGCCCTCCCCAGCTGGTGGCAAGATGGCCTAGCAGCTCAAAGCCTGTATCTCACCAGTTTAGCAAACCATGTAATACCTGTAGCAGACCTGATTTGAGCCTGTGCCCATCTCTGAACCAGCCTGTTGCTAGGAGGATGTGCTTCTGCTCTGACCAGGCCTGAGTCGGGTGCGGGTCAATCCTGGGAGCCATGTGGACAGAAAGGTGGGGGTAGCTCCCCCAGGAGAAGTTAGGGTTCTGCCACGAGAACAGGCACTGGACAGGCAAAAGCAACAGGCTTCCGCCTCCCAGTCTTGAGACACACACACATGTTTAAGGGGAAAAGAAAGCAGAAGAAAGAGGAGCAAGTAAATGCCACAGAAGAGTGGTGTCTGGGCGTAGAGGATCCAGGGTCCCTTGGCTGTGGGTTCAGGGTCGGGGGGCTAAAAAGTTTGCAAAGGACAATGGCCAAGGAACCGGCCACTGGATTTGCAGGCCAGAGTGGTGGTCCCCTGGTGTCTCTTTCTCCTTGTCTCTTCCTTCGATCTCTCTTGGTCTGACCTGTCCCTCTGTTGCTCTGTCCCCTCGTCTGTCTCTGTCTCATGCCTCCTCCTTTGCCACTGTGTTGGGTGGGTCAGGGATTGGCCCTCTGGGTCCCAGGTGATGGAAGAGGATCAGGCGGCTCCGAGTGTCTGGATCCTCCCCTGGGTCAGGGCAGCTCCCTGAGGATGGAGGAGAGGACTCAGGGGGCCCTGACTCTGTGGTCTCTTCCCCGTCCCCTGCAGTGTGTCAGATCCTGCCCAAGGGGGTCGTGTCTGTCCTGGGGCCCTCCTCCAGCCCAGCATCTGCCTCCACCGTGAGCCATATCTGTGGGGAGAAGGAGGTGAGGTGGGGAGCGTGGGCTGGGGTGGGTGGGGGAGCGGGTCCCTGAAAGGAGGAGCAGGATGGAAGCCGAAGCTCCTTCTCTGTCCAGATCCCCCACATCAAGGTGGGTCCCGAGGAGACGCCCCGCCTTCAGTACCTTCGCTTCGCGTCTGTCAGCTTGTACCCCAGTAACGAGGACGTCAGCCTGGCGGTCTCCCGAATCCTCAAGTCCTTCAACTACCCCTCGGCTAGCCTCATCTGCGCCAAGGCTGAGTGTGAGGGAGGAGAACTGGCTGTTTTGTTTTTTATTCCTCTAAATATCCCTTCCCAAGAGATCTGGTGTCCCACGCAGTTGTTCAGTGCCCCTCGGTTAGGTCCCCTGGGGTACCCAGGCACCAGGCTCTCCTGGTCCCCACCATCCTGTCCGTCTTCAGAAATCAAGACCCCTGGTTCCACAGACCTCTCCTCCTCCTCCAAAAAAGACCCGTTCGGTCCGCAGATGGTGACTAAGCACCTGCTGTGTCAGGGCCCTCTGCTAGGCCCTGGAGGGTGAGCAGGGGGCAGTGCTGGGCGTGGTCCCTGAGCGCACAGGACTCTGGGTCTAGTGGACGCGCAGGTCACTGAGCTGTTGTGATACAGAGTGGTACATGTGCTGCCAGGAGGCGTGTGGGGCCTCTGGGAGCACATAGGAGGGATCCCAGCCCATCTGGAAGGTTCGGAGCTTGCAGCCCCAAAGAAGGGACATCTAGGCTGAACCTGAAGGGTGGGGAAGGAGGGAGGGAACGTGTTCTGAGCAGAGGGTATGGCAGGGGGCAGAGGCGAAGGGCTCGGGAGCAAGGCCCAGGCCCGTTTGAGAGGCTTGAAGACGCCCCTGGTGGCCGAAGTGTGGGAGCAATGGAGCAGGAGGCAATGGGAGCCGGGGAAGGTTCCCACACAGGGCAGGGTGAACGGCCCCGGCCATGTGTATCGCAAGAAGAGCTGTAGGAAGAGCTCTTTGGTTGCAGTGTAAAGAACAGGTGAGAGTGTGACCTGAGGTGTGGCAGGAGCCCAGTGAGAGGCAGGGGAGAAGTGACACTGGTCTGGGCTCAGATGGTGGCAGTTGGGACAGAGGGACCAGGATGGGCTCAGGAGGGGGGAAGGGGAAGGGTGGGGGCTTCTGCCGAGGAGGAGGAGGAGGAGGAGGAGGAGGAGGAGGAGGACAATCCTTGGGACGGATACGCGTTGAGTGCGATGTTTCTTTGAGACATTCACAGGAGTTGTTTGGTAGGCTGGCGGATTTGTGGGTGTGGAGCTTGAGGAAGGGGGGCATCGTGCTCTGTAACCTCTGGAGGAATTGCTCCTGGCAAAGGTATTTATTGAGCACCTGCTGTGTGCCAGACCTGTCTTGGTTTTAGGGATCTAGCAGTGAGTGAAGCAGTCAGGGGTTCCCGCCCATGTTGGATGATGATCCGAGGACAGGAGCGAGGCAGTAAACACCGCAAATAAGCGCAGGACGTGATGCGGAATAGTAGGTTCCTCGGGGAGGTCCTGTGCGTAGTGAGGACCGGGAGTCTGGTGTCGGGGTGGGCTGCAATTTTAAATGAAACGGGGGCGAGGGCCTCATTGAGAACGTGGCGTTCGAGTAAAGACCTGAGGAGCGGAAGGAGGGAGCCATGTGGGGACGTGGGAGAAGAGGGTTCCCGGCCAAGGCACGAAGGCCACGGGATGGGAGCGTGACCCAGGTGTGGCTGGAGCTGAGCGAGTGAGTGACGGAGCGACAGGAGAGGAGGCCTGGGAGGGGGCGGGGGCGGGGTGAGTGGATTGCGTGGGGACTTGGAGCCTGTGAGGACTTTGGCCAGTAGGACTCTGAACGAAAGGAGAGGCCATCAGAGGGTGTGGAGCGGAGAAGGAACACACGCGACTCACATCGTTTCAGCTGCCGTGCGGGGAGCAAACTCAGGGCAAGCGTGGCAGGAGGTGGCCATGGCTTGGGCCAGGGCAGTGACAGTGACACGGCGTGATGGGGTCTGGTGTGTTTGGAAGGTGGGGCCGGGATGCACTGGGCATGGGTGTGGAGAGAGGAAGCCAGGCTGCCGCCAAGGGTGTGGCCTGACTGGCAGGCTGGAGGTGCTATTCACCATCGTGGGCGCGCCATGGCGGTTTGGGCTGGAAGAGTAGGAGCGTTACATGTGAGGTGCCTGTCCGACATCCTGGTGGGGGGTCAGGAAGGTGGCAGAGACAGGAATCTGGAGTTCTGGGGAGAGGTCTAGGTTGGGGTTTTAATTGGGGAGGACCCAGGCTTCAGATCCCTGAGCCCAGTACCCCAAGGGACCCAGCTGCACTCTGGAGAGCCGCCCTGTCACCTTGGCACGCCCGCCAGTCCTCTGCCCAGCTGCCCGTGCCCACCCCGTGCCCACGAATTTGGAGGAGCTCCAACCCGAGGCCTTACCCCCACCCCCAGGCCTACTGCGATTGGAGGAACTGGTGCGTGGCTTCCTCATCTCCAAGGAGACGCTGTCGGTGAGGATGCTGGATGATAGCCAGGACCCCACGCCACTGCTTAAGGAGATCCGAGACGACAAGGTGTCCACCATCATCATCGACGCCAATGCGTCCATCTCCCACCTCATCCTCCGTAAGGTGGGCCCCCCTCCGTCTCTGATTCCCTAATGGGCCAGGGGCGGGAACATGGGGCGACTGGGAGCAAGTCACCCAATGCCCATGGGCCGTAGTGGTTGAAATGGGGTGTTGAGACCCTCTTCTTGTGTGCAGAGGATAATCATAAAGTTTGTCTCCCTGCCTGGCCACTGCCTGGTTGTGTGGCCCCGGACTGTCACCTTGTCCCTCTGTGAGGTGAAGACAGTGGTAGTTCCTGCCTCAGTGGGATGCTGCGAGGGTTCATGAGGGAACGGCAGGTGAAGCGCGGGCCATGCCTGGCTCAGCTTCGACGCCCTCTAAGTCGTAGCTACTTCGGAACTTTTTTCCCCGGGCAACTTTGTTGCCCAGACTGGAGTGCAGTGATCATAGCTCACCGCAGCCTCGAACTCCGGGGCTCAAGCGATCCTTCCACCTCAGCCTCCTGAGTAGCTGGGACTACAGGCTCGTGATACCACACCCGGCTAAATTTTTAAATTTTTGGTAGAGCTAGGGTCTCAAACTCCTGGCCTCAAGCTATCCTCCCTCCTCCGCCTCCCAAAGCACTGGCTTACAGGCGTGAGCCGCTGAGCCTGGCTTTAGGATTTTTACTGAGGCTATCGAGGCCCCGTGTTGAAGAGCTTTGTGTGCATTCATTAATTCGGCTGCCTCCCCACCCTGCAGGGCAGGTGTCATGAGCACTTAGTGGGTGAAGAAGCTGGGGTTCCGAAGGGAAGGACTGGCTCAAGAGCACACAGGAGGGACCAGAGCACCAGGACCCCCCCTCTCCACAGCCCGGCACATTCCGTCCACCGATGACCCACACTCGTTAATCATTGATTTGCTTCCCTGCTCTTAATTTTTCTTCGTAATCAAATTTGTGTTATTTATTTTTCTCCACTTAAAAAAAAATTAAAACCAAATGTCACTGCTAATCGTAGCTTACAGAAAGAAGTGTGAACAGAACCCATCGGGCCCCTGAGGCAGGAGGGCTTATGGAATAGATCGCAGGTTTGGGAGGCAGATGGGCCCGGCTGGGATCCCAGCCCCTCCCGTGCCAGCCTTGTGAGCAGTCGTCCCTTCCGCCCCACGCCTGCCCTTCCCCGACACCCACATGAGAGCCAGCTCCCGCCACCCAGGAAGTGCAAGCTGCTGCCCTTTCGGGTTCCGTTTCTCGTGGAAACGCAGGATTGGGCGCTCCTGGCAGGGAGAGGTTTTCCGGCTTTGTTCTCGAGGGCTATGAGAAAGTGGCCTCAAACCTGAATCTTGACATTCGAATCGGCTGCCTTTCGTCGCCAAGCGCTGTTAGAGATCGCAGGGTCGTTTCTCTGAACTCGTGACTGGGCTCGGCCCTGCTCATTAGCAGCTCCAACTTGGCTTTGGAGAGTGTGGGGGGTTAAGGTTAATGTTTTCGTCTCCACCTTGTTTCTGAGGCTTCCTCTTGCCTGTCTCCAAGAAAGAAGTCTTCGAAGTGTCCTAATGAGGGGCGGGGGGCATTTGAGGGCCCTATTCTCTCCTCCAGCAAAGTCCCCATTCCCCCCGGGGCACTGGTCCGCATGGTGGGATGCGCGGGACCAAGGGCTCGCTCTGCCCTCACTGTCTCCTCCTCCCTGTCTGTCTCTGGGCCTATCTTACTGAGTTTCCCACGGGGCGTCTTCTCACCAGGCCTGTCTCTAAATCTCTCTTCCTCTCTTGGGTCTCCCCATCTCTGCCCGTCTCTGCCTCTCACGCTGCCTCTTCACCTCCTGTGTCCTCCAGGCCTCAGAGCTGGGAATGACCTCGGCGTTTTACAAGTACATCCTCACCACCATGGTGCGTACCCCTTGGGCCCCTCCCTTCCCCCACTCCCCTCCCACCTCCACTGCCCCACTCGGGGCCAGGCCCCAGGTCTCACCACCTCTTCTTGGTCCCAGGACTTCCCTATCCTGCATCTAGACGGTATCGTGGAGGACTCCTCCAACATCCTGGGCTTCTCCATGTTCAACACCTCCCACCCTTTCTACCCTGAGTTTGTGCGCAGCCTCAACATGTCCTGGAGGGAGAACTGTGAAGCCAGCACCTACCCGGGCCCCGCGGTGAGCACACAGACACCCTGTAACACCCTGTGCACAGACATTTGCAGGGGCCCCTTTGAGACCTCACTCAGATCAGGTTCAGAGCCCTTCAGCACTCCCAAGGGCCTGTGATGAGTCTGACCCATGTCCTCTCCTTGCTACCTCTCGTGCAGCGCCACACCCAAGCACAGGCACACCCCAGGGCCTTTGCACACGCTCTCGCTCTGCTTTCCCCACACTTCCCCAGAGAAGCAGCAGCTCACCCCTTTGTCGCTAGGTCATTGCATAAATGTCTTCTCAGTTGTAAGATTTTTTCTTGGTCCTCCAGTTTAAAAAATGGGAAACCACCTACTTTTTAGCCCCCTTCCCTGCCTTCTGTTTTCCCACAGAACTTTATTTACATGATCACCATCTGGCTTACTCTATATTATACTCATATATAGACATAGATTTAAAGGTTGTAAGTTCCATGAGGGCAGGAGTTTCTATTTTGTTCACCATTGGAGCCCCAGCACCTAAAACAGCCTAGCTCATAGTAGGTGTCTGATAATGTATGTAGAATAAATGCAAACATACAATAGATGCATATTCATGTGTATTTGTTCACAGACCTTTACTCATAAAGCAAGACTTCAACACGCACAGAAGTGCACACAGGCACCGAGCCGTACAACCAAATGCATGCATGCAGGGACATCACCCACACTGACACAGAGGCACATTGGTACACACCTCTGTGCACACCTACACAACACAGATACACAGAGCTTCACACCCACCCTGCTAGGACACACGCTCACAGGCACACATAGACACCGTGGCCATCAGTCGCAGCCCATTGGCCAGGGTGTAT